AGATATCAAGTCATTCTATGAGCATAAATTTGGCACTGACAGTATTTGCAGTATACTTTTATAACACCACCAGGCACTTTCTGGATCCATTCCTTAAAATTAGCTTCTTTCTCTCCAAGCTTCACAATAATGTTTCCTGTATTCTAACGACTTACTCATGAGATTGATAAAATTTGTATATTTGTTTAACAAAGAATTAAAATTTAAAATTTGCACTGTCCATCGTTAGTTACTCAAATGATTTTTCAACAACGCCTACATTGCCCATAGTTTGCGAATAGCCAAAGGAGCAAAAATGGAGGCCAAACCTACGCAGCTGGCCTGCATAGCATGATCTACAGCCCTGTAATGATTTTGCAATTATCATTCATGACAGTTTGATAGATCACTCCAAACTTGTACAGTATATACACTTAAAAATAGCCCCTAAGCCCCTTGTACAGTATATACGCCCCAAAACAGCCCCTAAACCCTGCAAATATGAAAAAAACCTCCCCCAAGTGATCTCCAAAACTAGCCAAATTGGGCATGAAAACTGCATATTCCCCCAAGCAGGTGTTCTTCAAATGGTAAGGACTATACAAACCCACAGTTCACAGCCAAACACACCAGAGTGTAAAGGTGGGTTGCTTGCTGAAACCACCTAGAGCAGGGGTGTCAGACTGGATTTCTTTGAGGGCCAGATCAACATTTTAGTTCTCTGCCAAGGGCCAGCCGATGTGGGGGCGGGGAGGTGGGACAGACGTCTCCTGCAGCACCCTGCCAGCCAAAACAGGGCGCGGAGGGGGCACACGATGCCCACCCATGCCCCGTTTTCAGCCTGGAGGGCCTTCTGCAGCACTTTATGAGCCAAAATGGAATGCCCGGTTTGGGCCGGCAAAGTGCTGCAAAAGGCCATCCAGGCTGAAAACGGGGAGCGGGGTGGGGCTTGAGTGCACCCCCCACCCCGTTTTCGCTAGCAGAGGCGCCACTTGCCCAGTCATTCACTATTTCCAGATTGGCCCCATGGGCCAGATTTAAGCACCCAGTGAGCAAAATCTGGCCGGCAGGCCTTGAGTTTGACACCCCTGACCTAGAGAGAAGAGACGGCTGAGAAGAAATCCAAATCAGCTCATTTGCCATCATTAGATTCTTAGATCAGGTCTATATTGTAAGATCAAACAGAAGAACTATTTGCTCTATAGTACTTGGTTATCAGTTTACTACAGTCCAGAATGGAAACAAAGTAAATTTACTTAGGCATTTGAACGTTTTCAAACCAGAAGCACTTTTTCCACTACATAATAAAGGAGGGTAGGGAAGTTCAGAGTTGGTCTCTGATAGAAAGCTACTTGAAGAGACTAGAAGCATGTGAAATGTGGATTTACAGGCGGCTGTTATGTATAAGTTGGGTTGACAAAAATCAGAAATGAGGAGGTGATAAACCGCCTGGGAAATAATCAAAACCATAAAAAAGGAAAAGTTAGAATATTGTGGACATGTGATGCAACACCTGGAAAAATACAGCATACTTCACAACCCTCCAAGGAAAGATTGAAGGCAAACGAGGTCCAGGCAGAAGAAGAACATCATGGCTTCAAAATCTAAGGGACTGTTTTGGACAAAACTCAACAGCACTTTTTCATGCAGCTATTGATAAAAATAGGATCGCCAACATGATCACCAATGGCTGATAACAGATATGGCACAAGAAGAAGAAGAAGAGGGAAATTCAGCCCCTATATAAGGTTAGTTCCCCATTTCCTTTATTCCAGCCACTTGGTCTGGTCAAGAATGAAGAGAACTGGGATCACATAGCAAGGACTAAAAGAACTATGATATTTGTGTTCCACATATTTTGGATGCTATACATGCAGTTCTGCAGTAGGAGGCAGTAGCATGCTACATCCCAGGCCTGCAGTTGACACAAATGATATTGCCAACCAATAGGAGAAATATTGGACCAATAAACCATACATGGACCTGTTTGACAAGAGACATAAATCAAGAAAATTCAAATTGGGCAATGTCATCTTTAGTTAAAAGATTCATTTTCATAGCACAGGACATTCTCTTGAATTTTCTGTGCTATTTGGACAGTAAATATAGTTCAGATGTGTTTGTAGGCTATTTCCCACTATTGATCAATGGAATAATAGTATAAGACATAACATAAATTACCCCCTGAAATTAGTATCTTTTTAAATATACAACTAAAGAACAAAAAAGCATCTGCTACTAAGAATACAGGAAACTCTGTCAGATCAAATCAAACCATCAACCATTATAAGTATTCCTAAAAATATCTGTGTATCTGTGTGTGTATTTGTCTGTGTGTTGCAGGAAGGGAATTATTGGATGTAGCAAGAGGAAGAAAATAGGAAACGTTTCTGCAGCTCCATTTGCATATTCCTACCCATGGAAAACCTTGGTTCCACTGACCATCTTTCTCCCTACATGGAGAAAGCCAGTCTAAACCTGGGATAATTTGTATGCAAAGAATGTGCTCAGTTAGTCCAGTCCGATCATTCGGCAAAGCGAACAAATGCTGGCATGTATGAAGGAGAAATGGGAAAGAGAGCAGTGGAAGTTTACCCAGCCATGCCCCCAGCCCCCGAGTTGTTGTCCTCTGTTGGAAGTGCCTACTAAATTAGCCTGCCCTGCAAGTTTGAATAATGCAGAATAAAAGAACACGATTTTGTTCTTTCCATCAAGTAATTTACATTCTCCCACAAAATTGTACCCTTCCTGTTACAGCTTTTCTTCAAGCAAAGTAACAAAATCTATTAATTTGTGTGGTTCTGGACAGTACATAACATAGTTAGCTCAGCTATAAGCTGATTAAAAATCAGCCACTTTAAGATTCCATTAAGACTGTTTTCTGTTGGCTTAAGTACCACAAAGCCAAGGAACTAAGTTAAGACTAATGTCTTAACAAAACATCCAAATCTTGTACCATAGTTGGTTGCCAGATTGCTCAAAAATAGGTATTCTAGCATAATAAATATAATTTAAGGATTTCAATTCAGTCTTCCCCAACCAATATATTATGATTGGCTGGCAATATATTGAGACACATAGTCTCTCTTGACTTGTTTGATACTTGTCTGCATTTCATGTCTTCCCCCTCCCCCCACATTCAATCATGTCCAATTCTCTAAGATGCCTGTACAAGTCCCTGCAATTTTCTTGGCAAGGTTTTTCAAAAGTGGTTTGCCACTGCCTCCTTCCTAGGGCTGAGAAAAAGGTGATGGGCCCAAGGTCACCCTTCCTTTGTGCTTAAGGTGGGACTCGAACTCATGGTCTCCTGGCTTCTAGCTTGATGCCACACCTAACTAGCTCCATTCCTGTCATAATATTATGTAAACACAATCCTGAGAACTATTGTTAGTAGGAGCTACCAAAGTACAGGGTAGCAAGAATCCATCTGTGACTTCTTGCATTTCTTTTAAATTCCACAATATTTACAATGGTTTCATAACATGACAATATGGTCCTTTATTAATGGGACAATTATGAGCTAGGCAAAAGATTCAGACATTCATTCATGAAATATGAATTTAAGGCATAAGAGATAGAATATTAAATAGAATTAGAAAGCAAGTAAAAAGATTCTAGCCAAAAACAATTTATAAGCATCACCCAAAGCTTCTGAATCAAACCATTATTATAGTTTGGTAGCAAGAAAGAACTAGAAATTCATTCTTAAAAAGTTGATCTTGTTCAGGTCAAAATATTGTGCTACCTGCTGCAATACAATAAATGTCACCATCACCCTTCACAATTGCAGGATCTACTACTCAAAGTTAAGCATCTGATCCAGAAATTTCCAGGGAGAAAATACAGTCACAAAACATAGAAAAACTACTTGTTATGTTCCATCAGTCTTCAAATCAGTTGTCTAAGGGAAGTAGTTTTTTTATCCTGAAGCTATCTAATTATAAAATCAATTTATTTGTATAAAGATGAGCATATATAAGAAATCTCCACAGGTATGATCATAGGACATTAACAGCAAGCCAGAGGTTTGCCATGGAAAGTAAGAGAAAACGAAAAGCAAAATCTACAAAGCAAAAGTTGGATTCTCTCATTTCATTTTATTCCTTTAATTTAATTTATTTTACAGTCATTCTGTTTAAAATAGTAATATATTCTCTGGCACATAAAAAAAAATGTGGAGCTATGGCAACTGGAGTGTGTCTAAGTCAGCCTTCCCAAATGTCAGGTTCTCTAGTTGATCTTGGAAGCTGTAGTTCGACATACCAGGCATTGAGTTGCAGAATACATGTTTGAAACAAAGGCACACACCATCCCATCATATTAGAGGAATTTCCTCGGGTCTGAGACCCCTGCAGGACTTAATAGCAGCAGAATCTTCCAGTTTCAGTCCATCCAATAAAAATATTGCAAAGTCAATGGAGCTGATCTTTAATCACATTTTTTTAAAAGAGGGTGAAGATCAGGGACAAATCCTATCAGTTGCTTCATCTTATAGGTACATCAGTGCAACCATCATGGAAGAGACATCACCAATAGCTCTATCCACAACTATCAAATGAAGAGAAACTAGAGTTGATAATATTTCAGGATTCAAGAAGAATTTTAACATGTCCACAGCATAAATGTATCCTTTTGATGATGACCCAAGTATAGCAGAATGAAACTGTTTTAAATGTGCTTCATTTGTCTGAACGATAGCATCCATCCATTATGTCTGAAGGCAATCGGGGGTATTTCCCAGTTAAAATACCATTTTTGTGTTACAAAGATCCAGACAACCACTAGATGGCATTGGTCAGAGGTATCTATACCTCTTTGCTGCCACCTAGTGTATGATGTTGTAGAATGATGTTTTCAAAAAACGGGGAGATACTTTCATTGGCATCACAATATATGAGGCCATAACAAAAGAAGTTCAGAGCATCCACTTTTTCACTCTGAAGCTAGGGAAGGAATTCTTGGAGGGGCAAATGGGCACCTTTCTGGCTTGCCACTGCATACATTGGATGGACATGTGGCAACTAAGCTGGGAAGCAGATGGAACAGCATTCCAGGCAGATCTCAAGACAGTCCGAGGAACCACAGCAATCTTGCAGCATCCCGCAGCCCAAACCACAGGGGCAATTCCCACCACCTGCCTCTCCACAGCAGCCTTCAGATAGTGGCTCCCCTCCTTCCCCGCTGCAGCAAGCCTCTAGGCAGCCCCTACAGGCCCCACATTCCAGGAGGAGGGAGCAGATGGTCATGAACTCACAAAAGAGGCAGGCCAGGGCACATAGAGTACAAGAATCTGGAGGAAAAGCAGAGGAAAAAAAAAAGATTAGGAGTACAAGGGAACTCTAAGGTTACTGAACAATTACCCACAGATTTCCACATTGCTATTATTACCCCTTCCTTCTGTTGTTCCTCCTAAAAAACAACAACCCAGAAGTCAGAAATCTTTTCTAGTCCATCAGCATATGATACCAGAGGTGGTATTCAGCAGGTTCTGACCAGTTCTGGAGAACCGGTAGCGGAAATTTTGAGTAGTTCGGAGAACTGGCAAATCCCTCCTCTGACTGGAGATTTTACAGTATCCTTCCTCTGCCACGCCCACCAAGCCACACCCACAGAACCGGTAGTAAAAAAAATTGAATCCCACCACTGTATGATATGCACAAACTGTTCTTCTGCTGGACCACTTCAAAGATGAGACATTACATAAATTAGTGCAAATGAAAATCTGTATGTTTGCACATTGGAAAATAAGGTTCTCCTTTCTCCTCTTGTAGGATGACAATGCAATGGTATATCTATATAGATTCAGTTGGCCATTTATGTGTCATATAACTTTATACAGAACAACGTTCAAAACAAATGATGAATTTTATCTTGTCCTTTACTGTAAATAGTCCAAGCTGTAAGAAAGAAATACAGCATTTTAAAATTAAATAATTGTTCCTTTGACTCTGCTATCAAATTCTAAAATGTCTGTGAACTACATCATGAATACTTGGTAAGGTTTTAAAAAACTTGGCTGTGCACTCAAGCTTAGGGCTCTGAATGTACCAATGATCCTGTTCCAAGGCTTTATTGTTAACTTGTTAATTATCTTGGCTGCTGTAATAAATTTATTTATTATTCAATTTCTATAGCCACCCATCTCAATCAATGATTCTGGGCAGCTTACAATTCAAAAAATAGAACAATAAAAACATTATAAAACACAATAAAAGCAATAAAAAACTAAATAGAAATATTTATCCAAAGTAAATATGCATAGCAGCTGAGATATTTGGACAGATAACAATAAATCTCGGAAATGGGGGCCTTAGCACATTCAGCATCTCAGGTATGGAACACAGCCAGGTTTTTAGAGCTTTTACAAAAGGCCCAGAGGATGGGGCCATTCTAATCTCCAAGGGGAGGATATTTTGCAGAGCAGGGGCTCTTCAGGAAGTACTGCAGAAAAGGCCTATCTTCTGGACCAGGGGTGTCAAACTCAAGGCCCGCAGGTGGGATCCAGCCCGCAGGGTGCTTAAATCCGGCCCATAGGGCTGGCCTGGAACTATCAAAGGACTGGCCTGCGATGCCTCTGGCAGCTAAAACGGGCCACATGTGGGCCCACAGTGCCTCATTTTCACCCTCCATGCAGCACTCGGCTGGCCGAAAACGAGCTGAAAAGCAGGCTGAAACAGGCTGAAAAAACAGTCAAAAATTAGCCAAAAAACAGGGCAAAAATGGGCAAAATGGGCCCAAAACAGGCCCAAAACAGACAAAAAAAACAGGCCCAAAACGGCCAAAAAATGTGCCAAAAATGGGCCACGTTTTCAGCCTGCATAGTATGCAGGAGACCATGGAGGGCGAAAATGAGGTGCAGGAGGCCTGCATGCGACCCCATTTTGGCTGGTAGGGTACTACAGGAGGCATCCATCCTGCCCCCCGCCCCCGCGCAGAGGAGAGCTACAATGCGATCTGGCCCTCGAAGAAATCCAGAAATCCAGTTTGACACCCCTGTTCTAGATCCCGGCAGCCAACACTCTTTGGCTGACAGATCTACAGCATGTCCAATCTGCTAGATCGAGTTGGAGAGGTAGAGATTCTTGGAAAAAGACAATTGCCTCACGTAACCCAGTGCCAAGCCATATAGGGCTTTAAAAGTGACATCCAGCACCTTGAATTGCATCCAGAAACATATCAGTAACCAATGCAGCTCACGCAGGAGTAGTGGAGGAGCCATATATCCGGCACGATTTACTATCAGCACAGTCGCATACTATACCAGTTGAATTTTCTGAATGCTCTCTAGGGGCAGCTCTATGTAGAGCATGTTGTAATGGTCTAAATGAGAGGTTACATGAGTTATTGCGAGCAGAGCCTGCAGATCCAAGAATGGGTGCAAGCAACTAATGCACTTCCTGAATGTGTGCAAAGGCTTTCTTAACTACAGCTGCCATCTGGTCTTCAAGTAGGAGTTGTGAGTCTAGGAATATACCCAGATTGAGCACTGGGTCTGTATAGAGTAGTGCAACCCCATCCAGAACTAAAGATGAAAGAACCTTGTCTTTAGAGGGTATTAGCCAGGGATGGGATTCAATTTTTTTAGCAACCGGTTCTGTGGGCATGGCTTGGTTGGTGGGCATGGGTTGGTGGTCATGTGACTGGCTAGGCGTGCCCAACTCAACATCACTCACATCGAGGCACGCATCTCCTCGCCTGGCCTCTCGTGACCGTGGGGATGCTGCAATAGTCGTGAGTGTGAAAAATGGTTATGTCACTTTTTTCAGTGCCACTGTAACTTTGAATGGTCACTCCACATAAGCAAAGTACCAGCAAAGGGTGGGGGGGGAAACTCCAGAGAAGTTCCAGAGACAGGAAGTCTAGTCCTGCCAAGAATGTAATAAGGGTTAACGGAGAGGCAGTTTCTGTAAGCAACACCAGAGTGTTTCCTTCCTGCCTTCCTTACAGGATTAGGCCAGTAATTTCTTCTAACAACTGGTTCTCCGAACTGCTTAGAATGTTAACAACCGGTTCTAGCGAATAGGTGCGAACCTGTAGAATCCCACCCCTGGTATTAGCTAATTAATTTCCCAATCATAGACCATAAAGCTAAATGCATCTCATAATTTCATTCACATTTTCTAATGAACAAAGATATTTTCCTTTGATTTACAAGGATAGGCTAATTGCCCATATAATTATGAATTTCATATAAAGTCCAGGTTAATTTTACCATGCTTGCTATTTGGCTCAAGAGCCTCCATATACAAACAAACATATTTTGCAATAAGATTAATATGATCTTGCTGCTGAACTCTTTGAAATGTTTATGTCTTTACCATCTAGCAAAATAGGTTAGGATAGAACTTAGAATGAAACTTGACAGAGAAACATGTTTTATTACATTTTCTGTAGAGAAATTGATTAGAAGAAAGGTTAAAAAGACCCCAAGGGTAAACCCATTTGGATTTTCGTTCCCAAAGTAAATTATAAAAGATAAACTGTAATGCCAGGCATAGAAGCGGTCTAGAGAACTGTGTTCTCCATATGTTGAATCATGGTTCTCAGCATCCCATAGAACAGCAATCTAGGCAAGGATATCTTTAGGATTCCTTTCTCCCACTGATTTTGAAACAAAGAATTATTTCATATTTCTGACCTTCCTGGCCAGATTTCTCCATTATGGCACTCTCCAGATTGGAATTTACCAATGCTCAAGAATACCAATGCTCAAGAATAATCAGGTTGGCCAGGGAATTCTGGGAATTGAAAACCATACCTCTAGGCCGCTCTAAAGAAAAGGATAATGGAATATGCCGGGACAAACTACTTTTCATTACCTGGAGCCCTAAACTAAAGGCTGCAAAGTGTGAGGTTAGGAATCTATCTATCTATCTATCTATCTATCTATCTATCTATCTATCTATC